TAAACCTGCTTTCATACTTTTCCATTTTTAATCCCGCATTCAATCATTTAAAATGTTGGGAGCTATAGCATTACAGTTAATGATGGGAACTATAAGGCTGGGAATGACTATGTTGTAATATTGTAATTTCTATAATCACAAAATATTCATCAATAGAAATTGTTGGCGCATGTTTCATTTATAACTGAGTAACTCTAAAAACTCCTGATTAAAAATAATTTCTGTTCAAAGCTCCCTTTGCAGATATTTCAGAAAAACATTTGCCTAATACATTTCGTAATTCACGAAATTAATATATGTCCACCCACCAAAACCAGATTCAAACAGGAAATAGTAAAAGTGGTGCTGAATAAGGAAACTTGGAGAGCATTTATGCATGTGGTGAGCGATGGTCACATAATGGTTATTGTTTTGGTAAACAATGTGCAGCTAAGAAAAGAGGTTAAAAATAAATATCCTCAAAAGGGAGGATTTGTGCAGACAGTTTCAGAACAAATTGACGACCTAGCACACATATTTATCGAGCTGTTTTATTGACCCTGAGATTACATACATAGTTACTACCAGCGCAGTACATCTCCAAGTACAGGTTGAAGCAAGATATGAAGAATCCTAAGCCTTGCCGTAATACAGTTATTGGTGAAAAAATATCCAGTTTTGTCGTGGTCCAAATCTCAATTGAAACTGTCTGTTTCAGTTGTTATTAGGAGCACTTGTTTAACAACACTTTTATTTCAGCAATGTTTTACGTCTTTTTCGGACAACGAACAAATCAACGACAACCGTATGAGGATCTTTCGTTGAAAGCGCCATTTTGATCGTACCCTAAGGGCCGAACGATACATAAAACGCACGCCTCTGATCCGTCACCAACTGACTCAATTTTTTTTTGTACCCAAGACGCAAAACAGAAATAATTTAATACTAATCAGCCAGGAAACTTATTACGAGCGACCCACATCTATTTCTCAATTGTTAATAATAAGGAAAACTATGCGACGGACGGGAACGGGACGGCACGCAGAATCCGACAAAGACGGCGATATACATCGTCGTCTGGGATTCGTTCCGCGCGCCTAATTGAAATAATAATTTCGCCTACGGATGATTAATATAAATAAAATATAAATGGTGTCATCCTGTGACTGTCGGGTGCGGGCAGTCGGTTTTAATTAACTTACGGTGACTTAACTTTTGTGTCTTAGAGAAAAAAACATTCGATCTGCGGTCGATAGTCAGAGACGAGTTGACTCTATATCCTCTCAGGAGCGGCGTGAGAGAAAAGTGAGGCAAATTTTACAATAGAAACGAAACGTCTAGTGATAGGGACTTTTGTCTTTCTCATGCTCACTTATATCAATATGAGGGAAGGAGTCCGGGCTTTCAGGCGTTTAAAAAATAATCTTATTGACTGAATAATTTAAACAAGCTTCTATAGTCTTATGCAACTTCTTCAACTGAAACTGACGTAGTTCTGAAGGAATCATCAGCCATGTTTGACGAATTGTCATAGTCAAAATCTGGCGCAGCAGATGCATATGGTTATTTGCACAGAAGAATAACAAAGGAATGATGAACAATGTTACAATATGAAAAGTAAATGTGATTTCATATTAATTATATGTTTTAATATTCTGGAATAGTTTGAACAAAATTCAATACCTGAGACTTTTTGGACATGCAGAAATCAAAAAAGCTGACCGCAACGTACTTTTCACTAACTCGATATAATATTAATTATTTAAAGGTTGCAATTTTCAACTATTTGCCTTACCAAAAAAAAAAAAAACAAAGCAAAGAACCTAGGCATGCATTTCCTTAATCTGCTCATTCGATAGTTTTCAACAAAGATTGATTTCAAACCGTATTTCGTCGCTTAAATTTTTAAGCGTAATTGGTGAATTATCTAAATATATGTGATATTGAAAGAAAAATTAATAAAAATGTAAAAAAAAATCCACTTGAAACGTCCCAAGTAATGACATAATTTCAAGGAATTATACCTCTAAAAGAATTTCGAAAAAGAAAAGAAATTCTGAATGTGACATTGCTTTATCACTGCAGAAACTTGATAGAGTTTGGTAGTAGTGTAAAGTGTTACTTATTGTGTTGGCTTTTAAGAAAGTTGTGTATGTCTCTTGGTGTAATGTTGGATCCTAAATTAACGTTCCAATTTCATATTACACGTTTGTTGTATCCAGTAAGCACCAATGCTGGTTGTGTTAGCTATGACGTTGTCACAATTGCAAAAAATGTTGGCAGGTCAGCAGATTGGTATAAAACCTAATAATCTCAAACAATAGCAATATCAGGTCGAAACTTGTTAAGATTCCTAGACACAGAACTTTAAAGATTTTAGAAAATTTGGATTAAACGTGGTACATTATTATCGATAACAAAAGGGTCTTTGAAGTAATCATAAAAGAACTGTTGGATCCAATGACGCCGTCAATGTTGATGAAATGAGATATTTTCTAATTCAACTATTTATTTACTTTCATAATGTTTCAACTGGTATCTCAGCTCGTCTTCAGGTGACTGGAGTTACTGCAGTAATACAGAATTCGCTGACTGGAGGTACTTGTCCAGTTAAAACGGTCATGGTATATATGATATATAGGTTATACGATCCCATACATGCATGTAACTCTTTTTTCTGGTTATTTACTGTAAATCAATCTATTTTACTGGACGATGATTGCAAGTTATGCACAACTTTTTATTTCCGCTTGTAATAAATCAATAACCAAAAGCGTTACATGCCGCCGCTTTAGAGGAATAAATAAAAGGAATTCGAAGGCGACCAAAGCCGTTTTCTCTGAATCCTTTGAATCCCTTAAAACGCCTAAACAAACCGTCGAACATTTGAGTACACACGGGTCCGGGCCCGAAATGCGTGTGGGCCGCGCACAAACAAATGAGACGTGTCAACACTGTCCGTAAAATATGAGAAAGTGTCTTTCGTCTAGTCTTGTGCGTCTTCTCGCTCCCTCCTCAACGAATGTTTCTGTTTTCTTGGACGCGCGGCGGCGGCGGCGGCGTCTGTAATAATATATATTTATAAACCGCGGAGAGGAAGGAGGACGGGGCGAGAACCGAACACCTCCGGGAAAAAATAAATAATATTCCTAAACAAATTTTACGCCTGAAAATAATCCGACGAGAAAAGGTCCAAGAGAGAACCGGTATTCATATAACGAGTCGACAGTACGATCCGTTTTGGAAATATTCGTTGACGTTGTTGATACTTCTAGTGTGCCTCAAGGATCCCATTTGGGTCCTCAACCTATTCATTAACGACATTAACTCTAGCGTCTTACATTCCTCCTCTTTGCAACGACACGAATTGCATAATTCTGCATTCTAAATATTTCAACAGTAGCTGAACATTTGCCTCACTTACATATAAGAAGAGTTTTGCACTGACCAACCTGCTAACTGAAGAGTTTAATGTTCATGTCAGGTATTTCCGATTCAGATTATCACCAATCGAATACCAAACTACCTAATGGACTGTCCACTATTTTCCATGCATTTGGAAAAAAATATTTGGATGCAAATATATTTAATTTAATGGTTAGCTCTTCGGCACTTTTACCAGAAAAAGTTTCCGGTCAAACACGAACGTAGTAGGCGTTTGATAAGGCCTCTCGTTTACGTCATAGGCCACCAGTTCCTAGAAGGCCCACTATTTAATTCCAATGGTTCTTTTTATTATCTGTATGTGAATGTGTTTATTACTTAATTAAAATCGTCAATCCCCTTATTTGAATCGTGACTATTCATATAAAATATAGTAAATATAATATAGCACATCGGTAAGAAATATCTCAATAAATTGGTTGACTTAAAACTCTTTACACAAATATGTATTCATATTTTAAAGTTATATTTTTTTACAATTACAATTACAAATTAACATTTTTTATGTGAAAAGAAACTTCGTACCCTCTGTCTTTCATCTCGCTATAATATGTTCATTATCAAAATAAGTATTTTTGGAAAAGCAGATATCGCAGGAACAGAGAATGAAAATGCAATGAACTTGAGCAATTCAGAAAAGGTATTTTCTGAAACCTGAAAAATGTGTTGCCCTTTTTCAATGGTTCTTTTAGACAAATTGAGGAGAATCTTTTAGTCTAATGATTAACCGAACAAACTACCTTGTTCAAATTTTATGAGCGCGTTCCAAAATGAGGTTTTAGTTTCATTTATGGTCGATGTTTAACTGCAAAAAAAATAGTATATTTGAGTACTGCATATTTTTTAAACAGCATGTGAAATGCGGTTGGCAACCCTTCTTATCTCAAATTCTAGTATGCACTTAGAATGATGCTTCCTCACTGCCACGTTTGCTTACTATCGGCAGCACCACCACCCATCTCAAACAGAAGGATCACTACAGCATGTTTGTATGCCTTTATATTTAATAGCTCCTGCATCTTTGGGTATAACGTTCACAACTTTAGGAATTAAATATGGACAACATTACTAGCCAATATTTAATATTACCCTTGCGACTTATGGTAAGATAATTATATCCACATTTTTTCAAGGTGTGCTTTTCTTTGTAACTATAGTAATAAATATAATTTTAAGAATCCATCTCAGCAATACACTTGGATTTACGAAATGTGAATCAATTGTCCTAACCAAATAAATCATAATTGTAAATTGAGAATTTACTATAGACAATATAATCTCTTTAGTGACCTTATACTGATACCACATTATGCAACGAAGTTTAGTTCATCCCCAGGGAGCCTGCGTTGAAAATAAAAGCAGCATTATCATTATAAATTATACTTGTGTACGTGTGCATCTCTCTCCAATCAAATATCTGACACAACTTTAATTAAAATAATAATCCAGGAAAAATACAAACTTCTCCAACTCTGGGCAGTTGCGAAATACCATTTAATTAAAAATGGGTGAACAATATTCCTGCACATGAGGGGAAAAATTCGAATACACATTAGTATTGGATATCGCATAGTTACCTTTTGATCCGTACAGACCTGAGAACATGAGACGTATTAGGACATTTTACATACATTTTTGAATAAAACAATCATCCAACACGTATCAATAATTCTTGTAGGCAAAAAGACGAAATGAAAGCGGACCAAATCTAAACACGCAAAATAAAATTAAATTAGAGTTTAATTAAATTTAATTTTAATATTAACGTGTATGGACATTTTTAGGAAGTTAAATTTACATAGGGCGTAAACTAATTATATGCTAATACTGACTGGTTTTCATTGAATAAGAAATAGAAATTTAGTTTAAAAAACAAAAACCACAGCAATCAAAAATCACAGACAAGCGTTAAAGTGAAAAGGAAATATTTGCTATATTTTCATACAATTTTAGTTAACCAAAACTAGCGGTAGATTTCTGGACCACAGTTTATCGCATATCATTAGATAAGTACGGTTAATAAGTATGGTTAATTAATATGAACAAGTGCCAGTTTATCCATGTAGAGCCAAACATGTAAACCATATAATATCACTTCTTCATTAAGCTGATTGTACGCTAGCAATTTATCATAATATAGAACACTATTTAAAAAAAATCGTAGACCTAGGAGCAGGAATTTTTTACATGATTACAATAAAACATTAATATTTTTATTTCTAAAAAAATCCTCATTGCTAAGGTAAAAGTCCATTAACACATTGTGATCATATATTTACAAGCAATCAGCTAATATTTTTCTAAAGGTAGACAAGGATTGATTCTGGCCAATACTGGGGTTTCGAAAATATTGCTGGCCGTTATCAAGTGAAAACTAGTTCTAGCCGAAACATCGTGTTAAAAACATTTTTCGACAACGGAAATGCGAAACGCCAGTTTGGACCAGAATCAGCCAATACATTCCGACTCACTATTTCATTAAATTAAAATTAAATTCTTAAAATGTCATAACTACTTGATGTACTTTTTCAACGCTTTCTTCATTATCTTCAAACTTAGCAACAGAGACTTATATGAAAGAAAAAGTCAACAAAAGTTAATAAGCCTCTTTGATACATTTAAGGTATGCATATTTCTAAAAATTTCGAATTTTATAAATAACAAATTTACAAATTTTGCGACATTCTGTTAAATCATGAAAAGTGGCGTCTAATGCCACGCTTTGAATTTTGACGTTTGTCAATTCTGACAGTTATGTCAGTGAATGTATTCGTGTTTTGCGAAAATGTACCCAAAAACTAAAGAAAAAAACTAAAGAAAAAGTATAGTATGAAACACGTTCGGTAAACTTTTTAACTCAGTCGCTGAGCTCCGCTCGTGTAAATTGCCGTTTACCGCACTTGTTGCATAACATATTATTAACACCTTTTTAACAAAAACAAAACCCTCCTCCTTCCCTTCAAAAACGCTATAAGCTGGAGGCCGCTGGGAACAGTCGTTGCTACTTTGCTTTTTTGGGTATTAAGTGAAGTGGACGGAATGCAAAGGTCGTACTCTCATTAACATATGCAGTTACGGCGAATAAAAGTAAAGAAATCTTTCGATATAAACACAAATGAACACACGACATACTCGGCAGTCCGGCCCTGCGTCGCGCCATTCGCCGAAACTTTGAAGCAAACTGCCCTGGAGAATTTAATATTGTTTAAATACAATAAAATAAAGGCGAAATATTTTTGGCACGGTCCGACAACCCGATATTTATATACGGCAATAAAATATTTCGCCCGCCCGACCGTATTTCATTTTCTTAATGATTCTTTGTTTACACTTTAAAAGTTGAGAACGCCATAAATAGCCCCGCTTTAAATAAATAAATTAATGGCCGCTCGCGCGCCGACCTCACCAAAGAAACCTTAAAATATTTAACAGCGAAAATTTTCGGCTCGGTTTTTGTGCGCTGGTCGGAATTTATCCGACTCGGAGGACCAATTTGTGTCGATAAACGACCGTGTTGCGAAAATCGTAGCGAGAACTGATAACGTATTGGCCTATTGTTCTAATAATATCGTTTTGAAGGAATGCTTATGAACAAAAAGAACGTTACTCATATAATTCCGTGGTGAATGGAGCAACGGGGCTTTCGAAAGAGATAAAAAAATCGTCTACGTATACCCTTTAACAAATTTAATAATAGAATCGGTCGTGGCACCGGGAAAAATACATTTACGTTTCTTCCTTATCACACATTATCACTATCACCCGACGCGATAAACTTGCTGCATTAAGTAATTATCCGTGCAACTTTGTAATTTATATGTAATAAAACTGTATTAGGAAAGACTCCGTGAACTGCTATGTAAGAGTTTCACAACACATTCAGGCACCATAGAAAAGGTCTCACTTATGATTCGCTTCCGATTATAATTAATTTGCTTCCAGCCAGGCTGTAAAAGTTTTAGCGTATTCCTCAGGGCTCCGCCTTCAGGCCACTAAATGCTTATGTTTAATAACACTTTAGCCGGGGTCCGTTGAAGAGTTGAAATGGCTGCAGAGTTCACATCCTGGTGTAATAACAGTATGATGAATCGTCTATTTTTACCACTTAAAAACTAATAAAATATTCATGATAATAGCAATATAATGTAAACAGTTCGAACAGTTCGAAACGGCAAAGATCACCTCAATACTCCCTTGTCTGAGGTGTTCTTAGATTTAACTTAAACCTACAACTACTAAATTTAGTAATAATAATTTTGAGTTGAATTTGATAAAAAAAAATAGTCCCTCTAGGTGTTTACCTACGACACAGTTTGATGAAGTGGACAATTGTATTTAATTTCTTAACACGTTTATATTTCTAGTTTGTAGTTTTCATGGTACAATAAATCAATGATCATCTGGGTACAAGAATTATTATATTGGAACTAAGTTGCGGTCTTCTTAACTTCAAAGTAACACTTAACTTGACATAACAAAATAACACCCACGAAAGCGTTTTCTGTATTTTTTCTTTGCAATTTTACGAACTTATGATTTTCTGAACGAGTTTCATTCTTCTAAAATGACTTTGCTTTTAAGGGGGTGATTCCGTTGACAAAAATGGAAAGTGTTGAGCATAGATATTCCACGCAGGATATCAACTGCCAGAATAAATGAAAAGACACTTTTTGTCTTTGGATAAATTAAATTTCTAATAATTTCTTGAAATTCTTCTATTGCTACCACTAATTTTGCAAAGAAAGTTAGGCATGGAATTCTCTTACTCTGCATCGCTGACGTTTCGGACCTGTATTAACCCGAGCCTGGGAACCAGGAATTTTAACTCATGCCAAATGTGGCAAAGAATACCAGTAAAAGAATACCAAATTTTAGTCAGGCTTCGAAATCCAAAATAGCACTTTCTTCTACCCAAGAAAAATTAGAGAGTATATGTTATTTTTTGTGTTCAATGTGAGCGCCCTGTCTCTGCAGGTCTTTTCCAGGCTTTTCGTTGCTCGTTTTGGGATCTTATATAGTCTACAACTTCATGCACGTATCCCCTTTCATTTTTTCACTTGACACTGTCTTATCTCTTTTATTTCTGGGCACTTGTTGTGCTGTCTATCTACCACGGCTTTTGTCCTGTCATGGTTAATATCCAGTCGGCTTTCGTTCTCTGGCAATTCCATTAGCTGACCAAGTTATTCTATTTGCCAGCAGAACAGTGTCGTCGGCATGAACAAACTTGTTGTATCTGTCTCCGCCAGTCACAATGCCACCTTCCCAGTCTTCCAGAACGTTTCTTATAACTTATTCACTGCATATGTTGAACATCCTTGTCCTACGACTTTCTTTTTGGTAAAAGCATCTGATAAAAATCCGTAGAGAGACACTACCGCCCTGCTGTGTGAATACAGGCTTGCAATCGTGGATATCGGATGTCTTGGTACGCCCATTACGCCCACCTGGTCCAGTACTGACCAGAGAAGACCCCATCTTATACTATAGAAGCCAAAGCACATCTATATCTACGATTTGTCTAATGTTTAGAATGTGCTCGCGTTCCCCTGCCATTTGTGAACCCAGCTTGTTCAGGTGGAATTTGCCATTGTAAAAAAGCTTTCAATATTTCGTTAATGACAGTTAAGAGGGTTTTGCTAACATATGAAAGTAAGGCCATAAGTCTACAGTTTCTCCCATTGCTTTTATCACTTCGTTAGATACGTTATCTGTTACGCCCACCTGGTCCAGTACTGACCAGAGAAGACCCCATCTTATACTATAGAAGCCAAAGCACATCTATATCTACGATTTGTCTAATGTTTAGAATGTGCTCGCGTTCCCCTGCCTTTTGTGAACCCAGCTTGTTCAGGTGGAATTTGCCATTGTAAAAAAGCTTTCAATATTTCGTTAATGACAGTTAAGAGGGTTTTGCTAACATATGAAAGTAAGGCCATAAGTCTACAGTTTCTCCCATTGCTTTTATCACTTCGTTAGATACGTTATCTGCTCCTGGAGTTTTATATGGTTTCAACTTTAGTGGCGCTCTGATCTCGTCTTTCAATATGGTTAGTTCTTTGTCCTGTTATTCATAATGTTCATTATGTTTCAGTCAGTATTTCCTCCAGTTTCACTCTCGATGGGTCGTGTGCGGGGTGTAAACTGTTTGTCGATTTGCCTTACAAACTGATACAAATCTGTGCTAATGCTTGGCCTGTGATGGTATTCAGCTTCTAGGCTTATGCATTCGTTTTTATCCGCTTTACAATCCCTTTGAATGCGTTGTGAAAGCTGTCGACAACGCACTTATTTTAGTTCTCTTCTTTCTGTTACTACTTTCAGTGTAGCATTCGTAATCCAATGCTGACTTTTACTCCCACTTTTTTCAACATCTTTTTTCCAATAACAGTTAAAAAGTGACGAGAACAGGCCGTAAACTAAAGTTTGGTTTTTGAAAAGATTGAAGCTTGGATGATCCGACATTGGTAGTTAAAATCTGCGAATAACCAAAACTATCAGCATTCCAAAACCCAGTTCGCTATCCACCAAACGTAAACCGCGAGTAAGTTAAAGAAATGCCGCACGAATGCATAAAAAAAGCTGTTACGAAATT